TATATGTGTGTGGTTTAAGAATGTTTTGATATTTATGCATTTGCACTGTATGGTCTGAAAACTGAATTGAAGCGTTACATGAACCAACAATATTTGCATAATGTCGAGTTTAAAATACAAGTTGATTAGAAGATAAGGATACTTTTTCTCTTGTACTTGAGAGATGAATTTAATCAGACCATTCGAACAGGGCTATTATAATTAAATAAAACCTTAAAAAATGTCATTACTTTTTTTTTTTCTTTTTTCATTTTTATTTACTTTTACATTTATTACTGAAATAACTAAAACTAGAATAAACAAAAAAGAATAATAAACTATACAGGCATTCAATAAAAACAATGAAGTTACCAAGACTAAGATTTCTAAGCCTTACACACTCTTATAATTGTCACATTTTTTCGTTACTTCAATTTTTCAAGCATTTTTCTCTGCCCTGACCACAAATCCGACTCCTTACAGACAAACAGGCCGAACTTAAGGACAAGTTTAAGTACACCGAAAAGTACATGAACTGGCATGATGCTCAAACGCACTGCAGATCACATGAAATAGACCTGGCCACCGTTACAAACGACACAGAAAACGCGTTCCTCGCAAACGTGCTTGATTCAGAGAACGACCGGAATGCCTGGATCGGCCTGTCCAAGAGGCAGGGGCTATGGCAGTGGCAGTGGTCAGATAACAGCAGTGTATCGTCGTCTGTGCAATGGGAGTCCGGGCAGCCTGATAATGTGAATGGCACTGAAGATTGTGTGAGTGCTGATACTGATGGACTGATGGCTGACGACACCTGCTTGACTGTACTGCCTTTCTACTGCCGAGAAAACACGAAAATACAGCGTGTGAGATTCGCAGTGAAATCAGACGGATCTCTGGATGAATCTGCAGTGATGGAGGCCATAGAGAAGAAGGTGAGATGATGCTGCATCATTAATATACTGTTTAAGGGCTGTCACGATTCCTCGATTATATTCGAGTACTCCATTATAAAAAAATCCTCGATTGCATTATCAATATAATATCTTAATACGCTAACTGTTCATTGCGACTTCAAAATAAAAGTTTAAACCCTCGCTCTGAGCTTGCATGTTTTGAAATCCACATTCAAGAAATTACAGTGGCTGCAGCATTTCTGTCATAAAGAAGTGGCCAAATATGAAAGATTAAGTGGACATTTGAATTAAATGTTTAATAAATATTAAAGGGTTAGATTGTGCTGTAAAGTGTAAAAACAATCGTCAGGCGTGTGCGCCCTCTGCAGGCATTTGATGTAATATATAATATACATAAGATAAGATCATATATATATATATATATATATATATATATATATATTTATTTTTATTTTTTTTAAGTCTATTGTTCACTTTGGTCTATTTTTATTACCACAAAAAAAAAAAAATCAGATTACTCGATTAATAGCCAGAATAATCAACCGATTACTCGATTACCAACATAATCATTAGTGACAGCCCTAATACTATTATAGTATTTAGGAACATTTTGAGTCAGTTCTTATTTGTATATTTTCAGTTTTCATTTAAATTTTAGTCACAAAACAAAATTAAAGGTAAAAAAATCACTTAATTTTGATACATTTGCTGCTTATCGCATAAGATAAGATCATATATATATATATATATATATATTTTGTTATTTATTTATTTTTATTTTTTTTAAGTCTATTGTTCACTTTGGTCTATTTTTATTACCACAAAAAAAAAAAAATCAGATTACTCGATTAATAGCCAGAATAATCAACCGATTACTCGATTACCAACATAATCATTAGTGACAGCCCTAATACTATTATAGTATTTAGGAACATTTTGAGTCAGTTCTTATTTGTATATTTTCAGTTTTCATTTAAATTTTAGTCACAAAACAAAATTAAAGGTAAAAAAATCACTTAATTTTGATACATTTGCTGCTTATCGTGTGTCAATTAAATGTATGTTGCTCTAAGAACGTTTAGATTTTTTTACTGGAAAACAAAACAAAAATACTAATTAAAAAATAATAATAACTGCAGAGTGTTCATTTTATTACAATAATAAAAAAAAAGTTTGTAGTTTTAGTTGACTGATGTCTGAACGGTCGTTCACTAATCACTGATGTGATCTGGTCTCTAGATGAAGCAGATCCTCTCGGGTCAGGACATGAAAATCAGATACAGCATAACATGGAGCGTCCAACCTGACGAGAAGATCTTCCAGCAGCAGAAAACACAAGAAAACACACAAGACACGGCAACAGCATGTGAGGAGCTGGGTCCAATGAAACGCTAGACTCTGATACGTACAATAACTTGTCAAACCGTCTATGAATCTTTAAGGTACAGGAATTTATAATAAAAGAGAGAACATGTTTATCACATTTATTTAATACAGTTAATGCACTGCCACTGTTAATTTGTTGCTTTGTTTACATACTGTGCAAATACTTAAGAATATGAATAAGACCATCCTGGATAAAAGTACAGGACAAATGCATTTCAAATGTTACTTTCTCATTTCACTGTACACTGAAATATATTTAGTGCTGGTTAGAATTGGTTTGAATGTGTAATTCATTTAGAAAAATAACAATAGTCTTCTCTTGGGGTCCTTTAAGTAGTTTAATATTTAGTTCTTTTGAAATATTAATATTTTATAATAATGCAGAAATAATGATTGAGACAGTAATGAATTGGAAATCTACAATGTGTGTTTTTAGAAATGCATAAAACTAAAGGATTGATAAACACATTGTTTTATTATTTTTATCCTGAACCTGCTCCTGTGTTTAGAGAATCATATTTTATGCTTCATATTTAGGGAATAATAAAGGCGTTTTAGTAACTGATAAATGGGTTGCACATGATTTATTTCAGTTTGGCAGTTTGGTTTATAACGAAATCTTTAAGATATCTGGTAAAATTTAGCACAACAATATTTTATTGATTGGCAAAAATATAATCTGCAATAAACAATTTTGCACTTATTTAGAAATGTAAAAATTATATTTATACATTCATTTTAGAGAGCAACTATACATTTGCATTGTGTCTTACTTTCTTTTATATTCATTTATTCTTCATTCATTTATTATGACATTATCATTTAATCATTCACTGTAAAAAAAATATGCTGCAATTAGTTATAACAACTTAAAATTTGTTGAGATAACTTAAATATCCAAAGTTAACTGAACTTATTATTTTAAGTCAAAAACAAACGATTAAAAAAAAAATTGCTCCTAACATTAAAGTTTTTAAATATACTTTTATATTTCAATAATTTCACATTCAATCTTCAAATTAATTTAGAAACAACATAAAGACAATATATTTTTAATATTTGATTGTTATGACTGAAGGCGAGTCTCATTGATACCAATAATACTGATGGCTCTGTGAAATTGTTTTTTTTTCCTAATATTTAACCATTGACTAGCCATTCAACATTACAGTATAACTGAAAGCTGTCAATCTGAACAATTATTAGACTTTAAAATATAACAACTTCTAATTTAATTGAACTTAAAGCCATTTTCACATAAACCCATTATAATAAATGTCATATTTAGCTACATGTGGCCTTCAGCAAGTAGGAAATATACAGAAACAGAATAAAGTGACCAAACACTAAATTCTAAGTTAAATATAGATTAATCCTTAAAGCTACAGAAGTGAATAATTTCCTCTCTTTTCTTTAGTTCTTTGATGAACAGCATCACAGCAGCTGGTTATCAGGTTATTTTGGCTGCTGAACATGACGCGGATCTCACACGCTTCGTAGTTTCTCATAGCTCTTTACCTTTTCTGACCCACTGCAGCTCTTAAAGTCTCTGTAATGAGCTGAGGAGTTGAATCAGGTGTTAGATGAGGGAGACAGTGCTGCTGCTCCACGATAGATCTGAAAACCACTGCATTTCAGAGACATGATCTTAAATCTGACTCGTATAACAAATACTTGCACAGTTTTAAAGCAGCTTTAATCGGCTTTTTGGTAACTTCATGACTTAACTGACGACATAACTACATTACATGATCGTAGTTTCTTTCGCGCTTTAATATGCAATGATAAACAGCGTGCTTCTCCGCATTTGTGCGTGCAACTAAAGAAAATTTGCTACGATCACAGCATACCGGCTGACAGGACAGGAAAACTGTTTTTTACTGACATATGGCCTGGCAACGTCTCATCTGACCGCAGTTCACTGTAGTTCTGCTGAAGCTCCTCGTCGCTAGTTTGACTCTCGCCAGCGCTGAGGTGAAGTTGGAGAGTGCATCTGAAAGTCTCCCGTTTTATGTGATTGTAAAGATGTTCTGCATCTAAATCAACGCAATTCTTGTCAAGAAAAAACAGACAGAAGCAGTTGTGAGTGGGGTGGCCAATACTAGCTCCGCCCCTGCGTTAATTGAGTTAAATATTTTTAACACGTTAAACTGAAAAAATTAATTGCATGCGTTAACGCACTAATTTTGACAGTGCTAGTTGAAACACATTATTATTGTAACACTGAATTTTAAGTTGTGATAACTAATCGCAGCAATAGTTTTTTTTACAGTGTACAATCATTTTAACTATATACTCATTTTATTGATTTATTTATTGATGAGTCATTTATATAATGTTATATTATTTTTGCATTGTCGTTTAGTCTTATAATTGTGTAGTTTCAAGGGATATTTGTTTATTTGATATGTGTGAGATAAGAGAACATCTCCATTTCAAGGACAGTGTTGTGAAGCAGTCATTTTCCATTGCTGTGGTTTGTGGTATAATAACACTTGTTGGATTTGTGCTGGTCAGATGAAGTCTGAGCATTGAAACATACGCAACTAAGATTATTCAATAAAGTCATTTAAGATTATTCAATAAACTCATCACTCAATAAGCTCATTTTATTTATCATCATCATCACTTCGTCTCCTGCTTCAGCTCTTCTTCGGCTTTCTCAGTCAACTTCTTGGCTGACAGAAGACTGTTAATACAGTTTTGAAAATACAGGTTTTCATCCGAAACATCTATTCACAAATTCACAGTAACAAATTTACATCAAGTATTATTGTGAAAGTGAAGCCTTAATCAAACCACATCCGGCATGAGATCCGCTAGTTCAGCTGCAAAACAGATGGGTTTATCCGGTTCATTTAGTGCGATTAACCTCCATAAAGCTGCTAAATCACATGGTTTTTAATGTCTCGCTTGTGTGCCAGTGGTGATTCATCTGCAGGTTTACATCAACCAAATGAGTTCACTTGGCTTGTCATGCTCATCCATCTGTGAATCTGATCAGAGATGATTTCCATGTCTTTCATGTCTTTTTAATGGGCTTCAGATCAAGGAGATCCATCAAAGTCATCAGGTAATGAGAGTCTTTGCATGCTTTGCATGATATTACAGATTTATGTGATTCAAACCCAAGAATAAATAACCACTTGCAGTTACTTCATTTCAACTCTGAAATGGCCTACCAAAATTACTCCAAGAGCACAGCGGGCAAATATTCTGTGGACTAATGAGACAAAAGTTGAACTTTTTGGAAGGTGTGTGTCCCGTTACATCTGGCGTAAAACCAACACAGCATTTCATTAAAAGAACATCATCTCAACAGTCAAACATGGTGGTGGTAGTGTGATGGTCTGGGGCTGCTTTGCAGCTTCAGGATCTGGATGACTTGCCATTATTGATGGAAGCATGAATGTCCGGCCGTCAGTTTGTGAGCTCAAGCTCAAGCGCACTTGGGTTATGCAGCAGGACAATGATCCCAAACACACCAGCAAGTCCACCTCTGAATGCCTCAAGAAAACTAAATTAAGGTTTTGGAGTGGCCAAGTCAAAGTCTGGACTTAAATCCAATTGAGATGCTGTGGCATGACCTTAAACCGTCCTTTCATGCTTGAAAACCCTCCAATGTGGCTGAATTGAAACAATTCTGCAAAAAAGAGTGGGCCAAAATTCCTCCACAGTGATGTGAAAGATTCATTGCCAGTTATCGCTAACGCTTGATTGCAGTTGTTGCTGCAAAGGGTGGCACAACCAGTTATTAGATTTAGGTGGCAATTACTTTTTCACGTAATGCCAGGCAGGTTTGGACAGCTTTTTTCCCTTAATAAAATATATAATCATTTAAAAACTGCATTTTGTATTTACTTGCATTATCTTTGTGTAATATTACAATTTGTTTGATGATCTGAATCTTTTAAGTGTGACAAATATGCAAAATCTCCATTTCAAGGACAGTGTTGTGAAGCAGTCATTTTCCATTGCTGTGGTTTGTGGTATAATAACACTTGTTGGATTTGTGCTGGTCAGATGAAGTCTGAGCATTGAAACATACGCAACTAAGATTATTCAATAAAGTCATTTAAGATTATTCAATAAACTCATCACTCAATAAGCTCATTTTATTTATCATCATCATCATCACTTCGTCTCCTGCTTCAGCTCTTCTTCGGCTTTCTCAGTCAACTTCTTGGCTGACAGAAGACTGTTAATACAGTTTTGAAAATACAGGTTTTCATCCGAAACATCTATTCACAAATTCACAGTAACAAATTTACATCAAGTATTATTGTGAAAGTGAAGCCTTAATCAAACCACATCCGGCATGAGATCCGCTAGTTCAGCTGCAAAACAGATGGGTTTATCCGGTTCATTTAGTGCGATTAACCTCCATAAAGCTGCTAAATCACATGGTTTTTAATGTCTCGCTTGTGTGCCAGTGGTGATTCATCTGCAGGTTTACATCAACCAAATGAGTTCACTTGGCTTGTCATGCTCATCCATCTGTGAATCTGATCAGAGATGATTTCCATGTCTTTTGCTTTTGCCTAATGGGCTTCAGATCAAGGAGATCCATCAAAGTCATCAGGTAATGAGAGTCTTTGCATGAAGGCTGGGTTATTACAGATTTATGTGATTCAAACCCAAGAATAAATAACCACTTGCAGTTACTTCATTTCAACTCTGAAATGGCCTACCAAAATTACTCCAAGAGCACAGCGGGCAAATATTCTGTGGACTAATGAGACAAAAGTTGAACTTTTTGGAATGTGTGTGTCCCGTTACATCGGGCGTAAAACCAACACAGCATTTCATAAAAAGAACATCATACCAACAGTCAAACATGGTGGTGGTAGTGTGATGGTCTGGGGCTGCTTTGCAGCTTCAGGATCTGGATGACTTGCCATTATTGATGGAAGCATGAATGTCCGGCCGTCAGTTTGTGAGCTCAAGCTCAAGCGCACTTGGGTTATGTAGCAGGACAATGATCCCAAACACACCAGCAAGTCCACCTCTGAATGCCTCAAGAAAACTAAATTAAGGTTTTGGAGTGGCCAAGTCAAAGTCTGGACTTAAATCCAATTGAGATGCTGTGGCATGACCTTAAACAGTCCATTCATACTCGCAAACCCTCCAATGTGGCTGAATTAAAACAATTCTGCAAAGAAGAGTGGGCCAGAGTTCCTCCACAGCGATGTGAAAGACCCATTGCCAGTTATCGCAAACGCTTGATTGCAGTTGTTGCTGCAAAGCGTGGCACAACCAGTTATTAGATTTAGGGGGCACTTACTTTTTCACATATGGCCAGGCAGGTTTGGACAGATTTTTTCCCTTAATAAATGAAATAATAATTTAAAAACTGCATTTTGTATTTACTCGGGTTA